GCCGTGGCCTGGGGCGCAGCGCGGCCGGGCGCGGCGGCCGGGCGGACGAGCGCGGGGCGCGGAGGCCGTGGCCTGGGGCGCAGCGCGGCCGGGCGCGGCGCAGCCACGGGAGAAGCGCGGGGACGCGCAGCCACAGGAGGAGCGCAGGGGCACGGCGCGGAGGCCGGGCTGCCGGCGCGTAGTCGTGGGAGTCGGGAGCCACCGCGGGCGTCGGGCACTGGAGTTGGCCGCCTCGCTCGTCGTTCCTGTAGCCTTGGAAGCGAGTTGCTTGGCGTTCTCGTTTTTGGCAGAGCAAAGTGCTGATAACGTGTCAGAGTAAAACGAGATTGAAAGCGAAAGAACAATCAGTCCTGGTTTCCATTGATTCTCAAGTGTATATACATCTGGAAGAGGTGGGAAGAAGAGATGCCTGCTCCACAGGTGCCTATTGGCAATAGAAAGAGAGAAGGGACATGACTGTTTGGGGTTGAACACACCCCTTTACTAATGACTATTCATTAATTAGCATGTGCTAATTAATCTACTAATTAATTCCTAACACTGCTAATGCTTGCCCTTCTCGAATAGCCAAAGCTTCGAGAGAAGTTGATTCTGCGATGAATCTAAAAGTGATCGCTGAAGCTCCCAGGAAATTTCCACCATGGTCACGGCATACCGCCGTTGCTGCACCATGGGACCCTTCTCTTGAGACTGCCGCGTCAACCCTTTGATGGAGGCAACCAAATTATAGGCCACGCGCTAGCATTCTTAAGCAACACCGGAGTTCTGAGATGTGTCGGAAAAAAAACACCGGAGTTCTGAGGAAAGAATTTTAGGGACTCTCAAAGATATCTACATGGATAGCTCTTCTTGCGCGCCATGTCACCACCATGCGTGTCAATTCTCTATGCGGTAGGATGACATAGTGAAAAGCCAATTATTTTCTCCGTACCAAGTTACTGCTCACTAGCTATGACCAGTCTAATACAAATACTACCGACCCGGCAAACAAGCATTGCGGGCAAACAAGCATGATTTTGCGGATATGTCGGCAATTCATTGGTGTTGCCCTCCCCTTAGTTGAAAATGTTCAAAAATTTAGCTACATCCCTTTGGTACAAACTTCTAGTTTTAGCTACTGTACATCCTAATAAGAGATGCGAACGTAACACAAAATAGAAGAGGCACTTTGAGGTGAAACCCACATAATATAGGTGAAATCCACATAGAAGGTCTTCCAGTCACGATAGTAGGAACAAAGCAACTAAGGCCATTACAGCAACCACACGCAGCTGACCCACCACGGTCACAACATAATAGAGTTCACACCGCACACAAAGTCACACCAACAACACGCTTCACAGCAGTTCATAAGCAAACCACGAGACACAGTGGAGCAGCACAACAGCAGTACCACTCGTCTCATTATTTACGCATAGATAACGAGATATAGATAACTAGGTGCTCGAGAGCACACGATCTTCACTTGTCCTTCTTCTCCCTGGCGATGAGGTCCATCACAGCTCGTTTGATGCTTCCTCCATTCTTGGCAAGCAGCTCCTTGTTCGTCTCCCTGTCATCAAATCCCTGGAAGAGGAACAGCACTAGGCTCAGGAGCTTGCCACAGCAATCATCATTTCAACGAAATCCAGAGTAGGGCATGTATCTTACCATTTCATTCAGTTCCGCCAGCAGAGGGTCCCATTCATTGACACCACACAGATCATCCACGGACTGCTCCAGGTTGTATTTATTCTGCCTCAGTATCTCCTTGTTCAGATCAACCTGCTTAAAGCCCATTTCCTCCAGCTCCTGCAGCAGTTTCTCTTCTGTAAGACTGTCGATGTCAAGCGGCGCAGATGCTACATCCACAGGTGTGGTTGCAGCTACAGGTAGATCCACAGGGATACTAGTAAGCGAACTTGTGGGCACATCAGCAGGTGTAGTCACAGCAGGTCTCGGAATGACTTCAGGTGCAAGTACAGTAACACTTGGCACAAAAGCAGCTGCATTTTCACTGGATGACGGAACATCGACCATGGGGTATGGAGGAGCTGCTGAAAATGCTGAGGGGGATTTCTTGGGCTCAGCAGCTTCACGGTATATCGAAGGCTCCAGCAGTTCCATTCTAGTGCCGTTGACATGTTCATCTAGGACTTGGTTAGCAGGCTCCATGTTGACATCAATCAAATTACTTGTGTTTGTCATGTTGCTTTCCTGAGGCAGACTACTTGTGTTTGTGATGTTGCTTTCCTGAGGCTGATTCAAGTTAACAGCAGCAGTCTTGTTGTCACTGACAAAAGATGGATCTTCCACCTGCAGATGCATTCAGGATTAAGGTGATAAAACAAAGGCAACCATCTAGATTATACATCCACATACGAAAAAGAAATGGTAGGATACCCAACCTGGATATGAACCCAAACTCGCTGACCAAATTTTTGACCAGAAGGTGATGCCAGTCTCCAGTAAGATATATACCTCCCAGGCCTTGCAGGTGCCACAAAATCAACAGCAACATCCATCTCTTGATCCACCGGAAATCCATTCAATGGAATCTGCACAACTATACCAACTCAGAACTGGGGAGTTTTTTTTTTATCACAGCTGATATTCAGCCTTAACATGCAATTCATAGCAGAGCTTCAAACAATATGCATGGTAACTATACCTCTAGTGGGACAGAGGTCTGCAGTGCAAATTGATCTCCACCCACCCAAATTAGCTGTGTGCCCAAGGGCCACATGATAGACCCATTGTTGTGCATGCGCCAAATCTTAGTGAACGGGCTTGAAGGTGACATAAGTGTGCCATCCAGCACCGTTACATCCAAAATGAAGCGGCTTTCGAGCTTCTCACGCTTTGACTTCATTGGAGCACGTGAATGGATTTTCCGGCACTGAAATAAAGAATATAATTAATCTACTAGTAGGCCCAGTTGCAGCAAATTAGTCTCTGAAGGCTTTCAAGATTGATCAGCTCCTACTTAAGGGCAGAGCACCTCCATTACCTTTCACCTAGCAATTTCACCTAGCAACTTATTATACCAACTATAAAGCAACTCACCAAATTAGGGTCCCGAGATAACTTGTGTGGCAGGATCGGCTTGTCTATTCTTGTGTACTCAACCTCACTGCCCATACGACAGAAGCAGGTATCACACAGATCATAATCTTCTTTCCTGACGGCAGAGACAGAAGACGTCAGATTAAGGACACCAAGAAATAGCTATGACAAATAATTTAATTCTGAGAGTAGTTGCATTTAAGAAGATCTTACACATTAGACTTGTAGCGTGGCCCAACAATTGGTTGAACTCCACAACCATCACACTGAATCCACCTATGTGAAATTCGTGGTGACCTCTCACTGTTATTACCAAGATTCCCATACAGACGCCCAGCAGATAGCAGACGGCCAGGGTAAGGAAATTGTGGAGAATGTCCATAGCCCAAGGGTGCATGGGGAACTGGTGGGGATGGGTGAGGCGCTTTATACATTGGAACACGCCATCCAGGATCACTAGCTGGTTTGACATTAGTTTCAGGTTGCCAAATGGATCTCGGCTGGGACCATCCATCCACCGATCTTCGTGTCTGGAACCATTCATTTCCAGATGCATTTGGATGACTTGGACGAAAACTGGGAACAGTGTTACGAGCGAGTGGTTCAGCAGAGGGCATGACAGACTTCCCCTTACTTTGAGCATCAGTCATATCCTTGCAACCAGAACTGTTACCACCGGAATTGGAGGTGTACAGCAAATCCTCAACAGAAGGATATAACGATCCTTGGTGGCCTTGAGAGGCTTCAGTGATGACTGCAGCGGGAACTTCAACCAACACACTCTTAAGACCTCCTGTCTCAGATGATACAGGGTTTCGTTCATTCAAAGGTCGTGAACCCAAACTTGCCTCAACTTTAGGCTGACCATCAGCTTTGAGATCAACCCGTGCTTGCTGCACACCCCTGGAGGAGCCAGGTGAACTCTCAGCATGCCCAGCAGATTGGCTACTGTTGGTTGATGTGATCAAGTTCACGAAAGGTTTTATCAGATCAGTTAATTGTGGTGGTGCTGCATCAAGTACTTCACGTGACAGTTTTGCAAGGGATTCAGGAACTGGCTCATGGATAGACTTCATAGCTTCATCAAGAGCTGATTTTAAGTGAGCTAGTGGATCTTCCCTTGCAGTGGATCTCAAAGGTTCTGATATGGGCTTTAAAGCTTCATCAATAACAGATTTGATCTGAGCTATCGGATCCTGAGTGGTGGCCTCAAGAGGTTTAGGGCTTGAATCCTGCCGGTTAATGTGAGATGCCCCAGCGTGGCTATTCTTTAACTGAACATTAATCCTTAGAGGGTTCAATTTCTGATGGATAGCTGCATCATGCAAGTCCTCGTCATCATCCAGCATAACAACATCCCCATCCTCATCAGTGTAAGTGAGAATGAAGTCAGCATCAGGGGCAAACTTAAAAGCACTTGCAATTTTGGAACGGAGAGCAGACAGATTCAAAGTGAAGTGCGTTCCGTTGACATAACCATTGAACCTCTTAAGTGTGTCACCATATTTGACCTGGAATATTGAGAAGGGAGAAATGAGAACGCTACGATAGAACACAATTAGATCATATGACACGTAAACCATGAGGACATAATAATGATCCAAAGCACAACAAATTTTTACACGACCTTGATGCATAGCTAACTATAGGAGATCAGGTCCAAAAAATGGTTGAGGAACTCACTAGTCCTTATACTACAAAAGTCAAAGGATTATCGAAAGGATCAATACTCAGAAAGCATATGGTGATGGTAATATATGGTACAGACAGTCATGCTCATCTGATAAGTAACATAAGAAGATAGATCATAATTAGTTTCAGTTACGTTCGCAGCAGTACGATATGCTAGAGGAATTGTGATTACCGGAGCACAACTGAGGTGCTGATTTCAAACTGAATGGTTGCATTAATCATAATTTCTTCTCTTCCATACCAATTAAGTAAGAGAATAAACTACTCAATCATAGTGCAAGTCTTATGGTTCTAGATTATAGATGTACAAAGACTGATCATAATTTCTTCTCTTCTACCAATTAGGTAAGGGCCATAACGAGAACACAATTTACACAAATGTACAGAGAGAAAATGTACCAATTTAACTTATGTGGCAATAGCCTATACGAGAGTCAAAACATTATTAACCATAAGAGTCTATGTGAACCAATTTAGCTTATGTGACGAGCTGACGGCAGCCTATACAAGAGACCGAAAACTATCATAGATAAGATTGGTCTCCTAATGGATGAAATATTAGCAATCTCTCACTACACGTTATGAAAGAAGATGAAATGTAAACAAAATTCAGATCATCAAAGAACAACCCATATTGAACTCGTAATAAGTCATGAAGTTACAAAATATACAGAAGGATTGGTGCATGGGAATACTCAATCAGAAAATAACTAGAACAAACTAGACAACTTTATTCAAAGAGCCATAAAGTGAAGGGCAAGACTACCATGACATGTGATGGACAAAGGACTGGTCAGCTGACTGGTGATTACATGCATCGATGATACACTTAACCCCATAATCAAGATTGCCATAAACAATATTTGATACCAGTACTGACATACTCCCTCTGTTCCTAAATATTTGTCTTTCTAGAGATTTCAACAAGTGACTACATACGGAGCAAAATGAGTGAATCTACACTCTAAAATATGTCTATATACATCTGTATGCGCTAGTTCATTTGAAATCTCTAAAAAGACAAATATTTAGGGAAGGAGGGAGTAGAAATTATGAGTTTTAAGTTTTAACCCACCAATGAACTGGATTTAATTGCTCAGATTTGAGGTTAGATGTCTAATATGTAGTATTACTTTGTGCTACGCCTATATCCTAGAGAGAAGCACAATACGCACTGATCCATGAAGTTATTCAATAGAAAACATGATCTGACAAACATATTTTGGAGTAAAACCGGGTCAGGTGCATATTTTAATAACAAACATGAGCAAGGCCGTGCCCGTCAATTGTATTCAAATATTGTTTATGGCACAACCTGTGTGATCAATTTTATTCTACACATATTCGATTGTAAGAGATCGATTATTTAACTAAAAACTAAGAAGAAAGGTGCAGAAATTAACCACAAAACCAAACACGTAAAATACGTCCGATCAGCGAGCAAACCCCAACCTCACACCTAAGCCACGCCCAATCAACCAGCAATCGTGAAGCCGACCCCTTGAACAAACCCTTCTAAAAGCGGTTCCCGTCCCTCGCACATAATCCCCTTACTGGCGAAACAAAACCACGGCTCGAGACCAGGAGAAGGATCACCTTGACGACGACGTCCCACGGATCGGGCCCCGACGCGAGGCCGTCGAACGGCGGCGCGCTCAGGCCGGACATGGCGGCGGGGAAACCCTCGGGGGGAGGCGGAGGAGTAGGCGATCGTGCGGAGGAGCGGGTCAATCCTAGACGAGACGAAGTTAGCGGCCGGAAACCTCGGAGGGCGGCGGCGGCGTCGAGGGGCGCGAGAGCTGCGTAGCCGTAAGCCGCAGCGGCGGTGGTGGCGGCGTGTGGGAGAGTGGCGATGTGCGGGTGCGGCCGAGGCTCTTGTGCCAGAGTCCTCTTTTATCACGCCTTTTCCTTCGGTGCGAAGGATGGACACCGTTGGGGCAATTAAGTCGTGGGGGTGCGGGGCCCAGGCGCCAGCGGCGAGGCCTCGCACCGCCTGCGCGGGCCCCAAGGGTTTCCTTTGGATTTCCTGTCAGAGTTGCGAAGTAGTAGAGGGTGAGAATGCATTTAACGCCTGTCCGGTGTCGCGTCTTGTCGCGTGGGCTCCACGCTTCCGACGCACGCGTCAGCTGCTGGACATGGATAAGGCTGGTTACAGCGGGAGTAATTTAGACCAGCAACTCCAACGGGCCGACCGAAACGGCCGGCCCATTTATCCGTTTGGGTTGGCCATCTGCCTTTTTTTGTATTTGGTTGGCAGTGTGCCAAACGCGTCGATTCATTTCATATCCGCGTGCAATTTTTAAAAAAGGCCGACGGCCATAGATCATGCTAGCTGCCATGTCGTCGCCTGGTTTGGGGCTCTAGTGCGCGAGCGTAGAAAAATCGGCCTAGCGTGCTGGTTTTGGCGTGCCGCGTCCAGCGCGTGTTAAGAAGGCGCTCCCTCCACACTCTGTCCGTCGCTCATTCGCCTCGTCCCCTCTCACTAGGCTCGCCGCCTCTGCGTTACCATGTCGATGCGTTGTTCTGGGTGCTTCGAATTTTCGCAGAGTCCGCGAGCACCGCTCCGGCGGCTTCTCCTCCGAGATCTGGTTTGGCGAAAAACGCCTCGGTCTCGGCACCTTCAACACCGCATAGGAGGCGGCCTACGCATACGACGCAGCGGCGTGGCGCCTCCGGCGGCCTCGTTGGAAGATGAATTTTCCCGACGTGTCGACGAGCCAGCGGGCGCAGGATCTCGCGTCTCTTCCACGGCTTTTCACCGACGAGAATCGTCGTGGCAACTAGAGGCGGCAGCGTCGCCTCGCCATCGCCGAGATGGACGAGGAAGCCATGGCGGTGCAAACGCTTCCCGCAGGATATCGTCAACGAGCGCCAGTTCTACAAGCAAAGGAGGACGGAGAGGGAGGCGAGGAGGACGGAGCGAGCCGCCTATCGGGAGGACAAGCGTTCGCGCAAGTAAGCCGCTCAATTGAACATGAAGCTAGGAGAAGCGTCGTCCTGAAACTCCGAGGACGAGCGGTATGTTGACGCCTACATTCAGACGTCAGAGGATGACATTAACGAGTCGGAGTCGGAAAACGACGAGTAGTTAATCTTTTCTTTTATCTGTCTATGCTAGAACTATCTATGTATATTTTTTTATCGGAAAAAATGGACGGCGGTGTCGGCGGCGAAGAAGGTGGCGAGGGTGTGCTATTCGATGGGGAAAGACCAATGTGCCACCGACCAGCGGGCCCGGGGAGGGGAGAGGGCGAGCGCACCCGCGTCCGTCTCGTATCCATGCCGACGCAAATCTGGCTCAAAAATGGGTCAGGAATGGGTCGGCAGGCGGACGAGCGTCCGTTTGGGTCGGTGCATTAGGCCAAATTTTTTGTCCGCGCCGACTCAAACGGATGGCCACGAACGAAATGGGTTGCCCCATTGAAGTTGCTCTAACATGTATATGTTGCTGCTCTATGTTATTACCTTCATAATAGGTAGTAATATATGGATGATACTCCATCCGTCACGGTTTAGAAGGCACAGTTAAATTTGCGTGCGTTTCCACAATAGACAAGGTTTAGGGCGCATTGCATTTATTTCTAGTAGCTAATTAGTACTCCGTATACTATTTTCTATATGCATGCGTAATGTGAATGCTATTTTTAACCCCATCTCACAACCAATAGATAACCAACTAGGTCCCAGAGAATTTCTAAGCGTGCCTTCTAAACCGTGACGGAGGAAGTAACATACAAGCCTTCATTAATTGAGATATAGACTTATTTTGCTTTGGGATGTGTTATTTTACAGTAACATATTATTATCATAAACATCTCTTCTCATTAATTTCATGTCATATAAGCAAATTTGTCTTGGAATATGTTATGTTACAATCTAAATTACTCCCACTATGACTAGCCTAAAAGTTACAGATTTTAACATATTTTAGTCCTGCCATCATCAAGTTGAAAGAAAAAATACGGCCATCTTCTTTGTCCGCACGACAGAACCTCTTGCATACTTGGTCCGGCCGATCCTGTGGTTCGATGACGACTGAACACGTGGTATTACTTTACTCGGCTGGAGAGCATTCAATCGAGTGGCCCGTACTCCCTTCATCTGAGTTTACTAGTAAGCTTGTACGTGCAACGCACGTCTCATTTGACATAAAATAATTATCAAAAGAGTTGTCTACTATTTACATAGTTTTTCATCCATACATGTTCATTTTATTACCAATAATAATGTTCTTCATGTGGAGGCAAAACTAAATGACATTAACAGATGAAGGAGGTGCAAATTGTTGGAAATATGCCCTAGAGGCAATAATAAAAGTGTTATTATTATATTTCTTTGTTCATGATAATAGTCTTTTATTCATGCTATAACTGTATTATCCGGAAATCGTAATACACATGTGAATACATAGACCATAATATGTCCCTAGTAAGCCTCTAGTTGACTAGCTCGTTGTGATCAACAGATAGTCATGGTTTCCTGGCTATGGACATTGGATGTCGTTGATAACGGGATCACATCATTAGGAGAATGATGTGATGGACAAGACCCAATCCTAAGCATAGCACAAAGGTCGGTTAGTTCGTTTGCTAGAGCTTTTCCAATGTCAAGTATCTCTTCCTTAGACCATGAGATCGTGTAACTCCCGGATACCGTAGGAGTGCTTTGGGTGTACCAAGCGTCACAACGTAACTGGGTGACTATAAAGGTGCACTACAGGTATCTCCGAAAGTCTTTGTTGGGTTGACACGGATCGAGACTAGGATTTGTCACTCCGTATGATGGAGAGGTATCTCTGGGCCCACTCGGTAATGCATCATCATAATGAGCTCAAGGTGACCAAGTGTTGGTCACGGGATCATGCATTACGGTACGAGTAAAGTGACTTGCCGGTAACGAGACTGAACGAGGTATTGGGATACCGACGATCGAGTCTCGGGCATGT